ACAATTTAACTGAACTTTGCTTGGCATGTCGTGGCCTAGCCCTGCCCTGTCCGGGCGCACTGAGCCTTTCAAGGTCTTGGTGAGTATCAGACCACCTGTTAGTCCCTTGCAGGAGTTATCAGTGTCATTTTTGGTTGTAGCTTTAATTGCATCAATTTGCTATAAAGATAAGGCAGAAGTATTAGCCATATTTCTCAGAGAAAAATCAGGGGAATGGAGATATAGTTTGGTTGATATTTCAGCAACATATTTTCACCAAAACAATAGCAAAACCAATTTGGAATGAATCTTCTGCTATTGCTTTCATAAAGGCATGTTGCTGAAATATCAACCCAACTATGTCTGGTGTCAACTATGTCTATCACTTTCGTGGTTTTGGTCTTGGGAATAAGGCTAATGTTGCTGTTTTATCTATGTGAACAATGTTCTTTGCTTATGCACAAAACAACTTATGCAGTTTGTTATGAAAATGATTTTCCATCATAATTTCAGAATCTTAACCACAAAGAGATAACAGTGCCTAGCATACCAAGAGTAAATTCACAACCTTTTGTTTTAATCACACAGGTTGGCCACACAAGTTGTTAACCAATCAACAGCCAAAATTTTGATTTTCCTAGCTAGTTCTGAGTCATGGTATTTCAGTTGGTTGAAACCAGTTGTTGCAAATTTCTTATTCCTCTAGTTTAGCATGTAATGATCAGAAATGCAGGAATTATTTCAGCTCTAATGTGTGAGAAGTGTGAACAATCACACATGGAATGCAGTTAGGTTTGCTGCACACCAAGAAGTGCTCTATGCCCCCTTCCCTGAATTTCCATCATTGCATCCAAGTTTTGCACTCAGGTGAGCAATCTAATCTGAATCCCACAGTTGTCTGCTAATTTTGTACAGCAACTTAAAAGGGAACCTTTAACCTCAGGGTCCAGGCTAAGAGTGACAGTGGCCAATGGGAGCTGAAATTGTAGTTAATGGCATTTTCCAAGGTGCTGACATAAAATGCATGTATGTATAGTATTATATGTCCATCCTGATGGCTCAGCTGGTTAGAGTGCCTTCCTCCAGATTCACCCAACTGTGGTGGGGTGGGTTTGAGTCTCTTAAGGCATTCTCTTTTTGCCCTTGACAGATACAGCATGCAGCTGGGGGCAGCAACCACGATAAATGTCAGATGACTCAGATGACGTTGGAAGGCAGGGCCGGCCATGCCAAACACTGCAGTGCATTGAGCTTTCTCCACCAAATTCTGATGTTGACCTGCATGATCTGATGGTAGTCTAAATTGATGATCAGATGGTAGGAGGCAGGGCTCACACAACACGCACTGCTTAGCATGAGCTCTGATCCCATAAATCCATCCATGGAAAATATTTGGATTAAATCTTGAGAATGTATTATCAGCAATGTGGAGATGCTGGGCAATGGAAAGGTTTGTGTTGTGAGGTTGAAACCTTTATGCATGCCAGAGCTATGCTACATTGTCTCATTACATCATATTTTGCACTTGTTTTAGTTGGTCAAACCCTTTCAGACCAGTTCCCATGCTTTGCACCATGCCTTTGAAGTGGGAAATGTTTCTGGATAGGGGCATGACAACAGTAGCTGTGGACGCCATGCATTTCACATAATTAAAGGATTATAACATCAAGCAGTGATGTAGTGGCCCAACAAGAAGACCAGATTCATCATTTATATTAAACACAGCTTAGGAAGATTAAGCTTTTTTTGCTGGGGAATTTAATCTAGTGCTCAACACCATTTTTTTGTGCACACACAATACACAAGTTCAGTTGAATTCAGGCCCATACTGTGATTGGTAGCATTCCAGTCTCAGACACCAAGTCTATTTTTATTCCAAGGTAGGATTCTGTCCAAAATGGCACCTGACAGTAGGCCTTGCATGATTACACCTCAGCAAAATCAATGGAAGAAAGATCAGAAAATATGTCCAGTACCCTCTCAAAAATTATGGCTTGTTACAGCTGAAGGAAAAATGTAGTATCCATTCATTCTTTAGTGTCATACGCAGTTAACCGTCACGGGCTTGATTTATTTCTGCAAATGCTTGATATTCCTTGTGTTGCAATCAACAACTGAGATAGCTGTGCTCAGTGTCCAGTGTTCACACCAAGCTGATGGCCATGCTTTTCATATTGTTAAATACCCATGTTGGGGAATCAACCATGCAAGTAGTGTCCCATGAATATGTGCTGTGCACAACTCTCTGATGCAATGGTCATTTCAACTGTTGTTTTTTTCAGGAACAGTGACCTTGGATGCTTCCAAATGTCATCAATTGGCAATCAGGTAAGTGCTAACATATCATATACCACCCTGGAATAGACTCAGAATCATCTCAGCAAACTGTGTCGTGTAGACCGAAACGTATCAGCCGAAATCCCGACATAGACTGAAATCAATGGAAATTTAGTATTTTGTTGAATGCCAAGCCGATTTGACCAAAATGGTCCAAAATTGGGAGTCCGAAACTGTCCATTAAAAGTTTTAACGTCCATAAAACATATTTCTCTGAAAATCTTTAGTTTGAACTTTAAATTTGCAATTTGAAATTGTAGTTAGAAAATTACTTGTCCAGAGTAATGACATTTTGTACTGCGAACTGAAACACATACGGATCACGTCCTGCCGCGACCTCAGCCGGTAGCTGACCTTGCGCGAGGTGCGTCAGTTCCACGTGTTTTTTTCGACACAAAACTATTGTGAGTTGCCCGAAGAGTCGAGCGAATTTGCCCCCTGATTTTGTGGCTCCGTCTGTGAACCAGGAGCGTGTCACTTTGCGATTTCCTGAGGAATGTACTGGTAGTTAAGGATTTCGTTCGTGATTTTTTGTGGCGCCAATTACACTATATATTGTATTTGCCCTAGGTGCTTGTACTGAGATGATTTGGACCACGAGCTCTTGGCATATCCTTAGGAGGCAAGCGTCTTATCCTTCAGTTTGTATGATGCAGCAAAAAAAGTCGCAAAAGTTGCAGGATGAGAGGAAGGTGCTCGCTGGGGGTGCTATAAATACCAAGGCAAGTAGATTTAAATTCTGATATACCATCGAAGTGCAGAAAATTAGACAATACTCTCGGCAGCTTCACTGTCGAGAACATTGTCGTATCGAGAGCATTATATCATATCAATAACGACCGGGAGCATTTTGAGTGACATTGGGGACTGCGGTTGAGCCTACAAGATAACACCGTTTGTTTGTGCACAAATTGAGCAGTAAACGTGCGGCACGGGAGTCCGTAACGATTTCAGCTGCTGGAATGCAGTATTTAGGACACCTTTTATTTAGCTTCGATCGCCATGAAACCTTCGCTATTCGATATGAAATAGTTGCTTTCTTATCTCGGCTCCAAAAGTGGGGGACCCTAGGTCACAGCGAAGCTGAACAATATCGCCACATTTCAAGATTGTTGCTTGAGTGTATCATTTAGTCTTTACCACCTGCTCAGCTGATGAGGTTGTATGGCATACAGACAATAGATTTGTCAGATCCGACCGATCAAATCTCCACCAAAATAGGGAGTAGCTCAGGTCAGTGTCGTCTGTTTCGCCACGTTCCAAAATATTTGCTTGCAGACAGCTCAGCTCGTGTGCTGTCCGCACGGATGATTTCTTAGAACTGAGTTGTCTGCAAGCAAGACTTTTGAAATTGGGCGAAGTTGGCGTCTTTGATTGGACCTAGGATCACCATTTTCGGAAGTGCTAGAGGGTCTCAACCATTAGGCATCGAATGGTGGAGGCGGCGCGGCGATCTGTCTGCATGGCGACCTGCGTTGTGTAGAGTTCTCTCGGTTCTCATTTTATGGTGACCTCTTATTAGTTCACATGCGGTGTTCGTGGATATCGAACAAAATGTGAGTACACGTCTTTTGTGCAGTCCTCCATTTGCATTTCATCATGTGGAATCACGAGATATGGAACGTCGTTTGGAACTCATGTCAGTTTGCTGATTGTTTTCTCTCCTCGTTTGGTTTTCAAGCGTGTGCGCATGTGTTTTATCAGCTGACTGCTGCTCCGGCCACGTGATCAGGTGTCAGGGGATGTTTGTGTGGGCTGACCGCTGCTTCGGCCGCGTGGTCAGGCGTCAGAGGATATTTGTGTCGGCTGACCGCTGCTCCGGCCGCGTGATCAGGCTTCAGAGGATGTTTGTGTGGGCTGTCCGCTGCTCCAGCCGCGTGATCAGGCGTCAGAGGATATTTGTGTCGGCTGACCGCTGCTCCGGCCGCGTGATCAGGCGTCAGAGGATGTTTGTGTCGGCTGTTGGCCCCGGCCGCGTGATCAGGCGTCAGAGGATGTTTGTGTGGGCTGATCGCTGCTTCGGCCGCGTGATCAGGTGTCGGAGGATGTTTGTGTCGGCTGTGGGCTCCGGTCGCGTAATCAGGCGTTAGAGGATGTTTGTGTGGGCTGATCGCTGCTTCGGCTGTGTGATCAGGCGTCACAGGATGTTTGTGTGGGCTGTCCGCTGCTCCGGCCGCGTGATCAGGCGTCAGATGATATTTGTGTCGGCTGACCGGTGCTCCGGCCGCGTGGTCAGGCGTCAGAGGATATTTGTGTCGGCTGACAGCTGCTTTGACCGCGTGGTCAGGCGTCAGAGAATGTTCGTGTCGGCTGACTGTTGCTCCGGCCGCGTGATCAGGCGTCAGAGGATGTTTGTGTCGGCTGAGCGCTGCTCCCACCGCGCGGTCAGGCGTCAGAGGATGTTTGTGTCGGCTGACCGCTGCTCCCACCGCGCGGTCAGGCGTCAGAGGATGGCTGAGCCTGCCGGCGACTGGGACAGCACGGACGAGTTTGTGATCCTGACCGAGACGAGCGACGCCGACCCGCGGCTCAGCCTGCCCGGCGCCGGCGGACTGCCACAGCTCATGGACGACCTGCACGACTGCATTGCCGACGCCGAGGCCGTCGTGGCGTCCGACAGCGGCGCTGGCGGCGACGGCTGCCCGGCGCAGACCCCCGCCGCCGCCCCCGCCGCCCCCGCCGCCCCCGCCGCCCCCACCGCCCCCGCCACAGCCGGCCCCGCCACAACCGCCCTCGCCCCAGCTGCCACGGACGACGACGACAAGCCGAGTGATGGTACGACGGCGGCCGGCGCCTGCGGTCGCTAGGACCACAGCGACACGGGCTGCATGGCCCTTCGCCTTGTGCTGTATTGTGGCGTAATGCACAGCATTGAGGATTTATATAGTGTGCTAACTCATGTGGTCCGCCTGCAATAGTGGGTCGATGCCGGTGTGGTGTCGATACATTAGCGGTATGGCATATGGTGTGGCAGGCGTGGCATATTGTACTAGGATCTATTAGGCGTGTCCATAGCAACCATGGCCGTACTGAATCCGGCTGGTATGCAGATGAAGGCTGGTCATGCGCCGGTCGTCGTGGCCGGCCCTGTGCGGTGTGCTCACACCACGGCCAGGCCCCGCTGCCGGGCCGGTGACGGCGCCGCGGCTCGCTGTGAGACGGGCGCGGCCAGTGACGCTGGCCGGTGCCGCTCCGGCAGCACTGACCGGCTCCAGCGCGTCCGAGGGCGCCGCCGACGCCGGCAACGACCACGCCATGTTCCACCGTGTGTTCTACCTGGGCGCGGCGTCCATCAACGCGCCGCGCAGCGAGCCCGAGATCCAGCGCAACATGGCCATCCTGAACGCGGAGGAGGCCGGCCGCCAGGCCATCCCCGTGTGCGTGGCCGTGCCCACCACGCCGCAGGGCTGCGTCGTGTGAGTGGCCGTCGTCCCGCGCGGCGTGTGGTGGCGGCGTGAGGCGCCTGCTATCAGTGTTGTTGTTTGTCGGGCTTCCCGGGCGGCCATTGCTAATCGGTCAAGTCGCCTCGGTGCGTGGTGGCTGTTGGCCTGTTCGTGGCTTGAGTTGTGGGTCGCTCAGCTCTCAAAGTTTCCCAACCCCTCCCCCACCCCACTCGCACCCCGATTTTCCGCCAGTGCCCTGCGATTTTCGGAACGATGGTTTTGATTTTGCGCTATAAAATTTAAAAACCGCTGGTTATGAAGACAAAGCTATTATCAGATATGCATGTTGAGCTCATGATTTATTCAGACGCAGGAGGCTTTTTCTTGACTTGTGTGCAAAATAGGAGTTTGAAATACAGCGCTTTCTAGCGCAAGAGCGTGATCAGCACGGCTATCTCAGTTGACCACCGCGTGCAGTGTTGACGTGCGAGGTCGGCGTGTCGGCAGGGTGTACGAGGAGGAGACGGAGACGGTGATGACCAGCTTCCCCGTCTACCGGATCCTGTTCTGCGCCGTGGGTCAGGCGGGCGGCCCCGAGGAGCAGTGCTTCGGCTTCACCTGCTCACGCGGCGACGCCGAAGAGACGGCCATCTTCCAGTGTCACGTCTTCAAGTGCGCTGCCGCCCGTGCGGTGAGCTCCTGCGTCGGGCGGTGCGGCCGGCGGCGCCGGCCCCGGAGCCGCCGGCCTCGGTCGCCGCCGCTCCTGCGCGCCAGGCTGGCCAAAGCGCTCCCAATGTCAACAGCTCGGTGCGGAGCTCCCGCCTGCAGCGTGGTGATATGATGTGGATTGTGTGTCCATGGCCGCGCCTTTTCCTTCGATAAGCGGTAAACGTGTGATTGGATGGAACCGTATCTCTTTGCACAAGGGACGCCCCTTACCCTATCTCATGGCTGTCGCGCTTGCATGTGGGACGCCGCAGCGTGCTGTATTTGGTCACCTCGCCCGCCCTCGGCGAGCCATGGGCCGTGTTGGCATCACTCACGCCGCACAGGCGGCTTGCCGGCGGTGGGTGCGGGCGCGCCAGCCGCAGGTATGCCTCCGCCGGACAGCGGGTGACGCCGGGCCGCGCTCGCGCCCCCAGTCCGGTCGGGTGTTGGGCTGCTTCGCGCGCGCCTTCAGGAAGCAGTCGGCGGAGGGGGCGGCTGAGGACGGCGTGGACGTGGCGCCGCGCACCTGTCGCTACGACTTCGAGCTGTCCGTTGAGATGCAGGAGGAGGACGCCAAGGTGAGCGCGCCGCCGGTCGCCGCCAGGGCAGAGGCGGCCCGGTGCGCCTCCCAGCGGGCGGGCGCCGCCTGGCGGGGTCGGGGACACGCGGCGACGCAGGCAAGGCTCGGGACGCGCCCCCTGGCAGCCAGTGTCGTATATGTCAGCTTAAAGCGCATATTGTGAAGGAACAGCATGCGGATGCACGTATCTCTGCAGCCAGTTGCCTCTGGTTTTCAGAGGTACAGAGGGTGATGTATTATTTCGGTGCCGCGCCGTTGCAGTTATCATATATCTTGATTCCTGGTCAAGGGGTTTTGTGCCATCTGGTCGAAGCATCATGCCGAGATTCATGCTGTATTTCAGCATGCTTGTGAAAAGATGCCGCGTGGTAGGGAAGCCTTCAGCTTTGCCTCATGGCACCTGTAGATTTTTCTTCCATGCTTACATGTTGGCGATTTTGACATGGAAAACATGTATGCTGGTGTTTTATCTTTATAAATATTGTGATCTCGCCCTTATCCAGCTAATAAGAAACGAATTTATATTCTTAAAACTTGTTTTGAACAGATATAATATCCAGGTCATCATCCGATGCGCATCACAGACACAACCTCCCACCCCAGTCCGCCCCCTCGCAACGACGTCACGCCGGTCCTGTCGGCGCTCAGGGCGTGTACGCGGCCATCCCGCGCGACAAGGGCGGCTTCAAGCTGCGCTGCAACACGCAGCGCAAGGTGCTGGTGTCGGTGCGGCAGACGAGCGACCTGCTGCCGCCGCTCACCGTCGAGCGCTGCTTCGGCCTGCTGGTGGCGCCCGGCAAGAACGTCAAACACGGCGACATGACGCTACTGGAGATGGTCAGTGGCGCCGGACGGGTCGCGGGTCGCGGGTCGCGGCGCGATGGCGATGTGGGCTGACCTGCTGCCGGGCAGGTGCGGTCGCGTAATTTATGGGAAGATCGACTGATGAGGTGATGATTTATTGGGTGAGATACAGGTATGCTGCTTGACTTGATGTGGTGGCTGGCATGTGCGCGTGCTGCTTGATGACATCTTCATATTCTTCATCATCATCGTCATTATCATCGGCATTATCATCAGCATTAGTATTATTGTTGTTATTATTTTTACGATATTATTATTATGACTATTACTATTACTAGTATGATTATTGTTATTATTATTTTGTATTGCTGTTATCATCATTATGATTACTCTGAGTGGTATCAATAGTATTGCTATTTTTATTATTATCACACTCATGGCCATCATCATCTTCCGGCGGTGGGACACTCATGTGTGCCGCTGTGCGCCTGGCTGACCGGTGCGAGCGCGTTGCCCGGCCCGACACGCTGGTGACCCGGCCCGGGCCGTGTCTGCTCCGCCAGCCCTCCATGGGCAGCGTGGTGGGTGATCGGCACTGCTACAGCGTGGTGGGCCTATGGGACGCAGGCGACCCGAACCTGACGCTGCTCAACCAGGAGACGCCCAAGGATCTGCCGCTCGTGATGTCGATCGGCGTCGACCTGGTCATTGGTGGGTGATACATGCTGACCTCGGGTCAGGGTGGGTGTGGGTGACCTGGTCATTGGTGGGTGACACATGCTGACCTCGGGTCAGGGTGGGTGTGGGTGACCTGGTCATTGGTGGGTGATACATGCTGACCTCGGGTCAGGGTGGGTGTGGGTGACCTGGTCATTGGTGGGTGATACATGCTGACCTCGGGTCAGGGTGGGTGTGGGTGACCTGGTCATTGGTGGGTGGTACATGCTGACCTCGGGTCAGGGTGGGTGTAAGTAACCTGGCCATTAGGGGATGATACATGCTGACCTCGGGTCAGGGTGGGTGTGGGTGACCTGGCCATTGGTGGGTGATACATGCTGACCTCGGGTCAGGGTGGGTGTGGGTAACTTGGTCATTGGTGGTAGCACGGCATCATCCTAGTTCAGGATGGGTGTGGGTAACTTGGTCATTGGTGGTAGCACTGCACTGTCCTAGGTCAGGCTGGGTGTGTTTGTGCGTGACACCATTATGGGGAGGAGCACTAAGTTTCCCTCTGTTGGTGGGGTTGTCAACTGACCTGCACGTTGCATGTGGGCTCCCGACGGATCCCTGCGCCTGGCGTTGAAGGTGCCCTATATTCTGCTTGTCGATTCTGCTTGGCAAATGTTGCATACATCAAATGAGAACAAAACAAACTGTCGAATGTTTATTGAGACTATTGGCTTTGCCGTTAGTGGTATTGTTCACGCAGCATTTCAGACAGTCACCTCCCCAGCCATCGTTTGGCGTTGGTTGGTTAGGTTCACTTATTCGGTGCGAAGCCATGCGCGTGCGTCAGCCGGCTGACCCGGGCTTCTAAGGAGAATATCTGGTGGTCGCTCTCAGGGCCACAATGCTCGACCACGACCGAGCGAGCGGTGAACCGAAGCGTCGTGTGAACAGCAACACTGCTGACGAGGACTGCAGTCCGAGCTTTCCTTACATGTGCCAACGCATATGAAAGTGTGTGTGAAGCGGTGACTCAGAAACGTTATGTTGAGGCGCCGGCGATCAACATTTCACTTCGCCTCCCCCCCCCCCCCGCCCTCTCCCCGTGTGTGGGGAGGGTTGATTCTGACGGCCGGTTCTGTTCTTACCAGAGGGCATCCACGAGCCGGTCAGGTTCCTCCTGGAGTCCCGGGTTCGGATCTACCCGCAGTCGGAGCGGTTTTGGTACTTCTCCACCAAAAAGCTTCTTCAGAAGTTCTCGCTGCTCGTTAAGAAGGCAAGCTTACGCCGTGGGGGTGACGGTGACCAGTGCGTTGGAGTATCGTTCATATGAGAAAACAGCGTACACGGACCACCGAAGTGTTTTTGAAAGCATTGCGAGACCCTGGGTTCGTACCGTATCTGCGTCGGTTTAACTTACGATGGCGCTAGAAAGCTCCTGAGGCTGTGCTACATGACACGTACAGCAGTGGACGTGATACTGGCGGCCACCCGTCGTGTGGCTTGTATGTCGGTGTTTGATGGCACGCGATCACGCGAGCGTTTATTCGAGACTCAAAAGGCGAATATTCCGCGTCGTTGTATTGTTTCATAAATGTGACGTGGTTGAGAAAACGGACGCACCATCGCTGCCACGCCTCTGACTTATCTCGCAGACTGGGGAGCAGCTGGAATTCGAGAGGCTGGAGAACCTGGGCGAGATGGAGACATCCAGGAACATGCTGCTGAGCCTGAACCTGGCGAGCCTGCCCGGACTTGCGGGGCGGTCTCCAAGCGTCACCAGTCCCGGGTCGCCTGGCCAGGAGGAGAGCGGTAAGTCGGCCGGGTCAGGAGGAGAGCGGTAAGTCGCCTGGCCAGGAGGAGAGCGGTAAGTCGCCTGGCCATGGACTGTATACGACGCACACGGTCCGTGGCCTGGCCAGGGGGAGAGCGGTGAGTGGTCTGGAGAGTGACTGTATACGACGTACGCGGCCCATGGTCGGCCCAGGAGGAGAGCGGTAAGTGGTCTGGCCATGAGCTGTATACGATGTACGCGGTCCATGGTCGGCCCAGGAGGAGAGCGGTAAGTCGTCTGGTCATGGACTGTATACGACACACGCGGTCCATGGTCGGCCCGGGAGGAGAGCGGTAAGTCGTCTGGCCATGGACTGTATACGACACACGCGGTCCATGGTCGGCCCGGGAGGAGAGCGGTAAGTCGTCTGGCCATGGACTATACACGACGTACACGGTCCATAGTCGCTCACAAGGGGAGTGGTACGTCGTCCAGTGTCGGGGGTGGGGGGAGTGGGGAGTGATAAGCCGTCTGTTGCCCTGAAGCATTCATCGTGGTCAAATGAGCAATATCGGCTCTTCGTCCTCAAACTGTATAAGTAATTTGCTTAGGTGACGTGTGGGTAACAATCCTCGCACAATACGGCGTGATACGTGAACATTTCCCAGAAGAAGGACTGGGCCCCAATGCAAATGTAAACTCGGGTTGTGATTTGCGATAATTTTGGGTGGTTCAGGGAGGGCATCGATTTAAAATCCACATATTTGCCACGCCCCTCGCCGAAACATTACGATATGCTTACCAGCTTGTTGCCATACATTTGGTAGCAAACACGCAAACGTTGCAGGCTAATCAGGGTGTGGCTGAGACGAATCCGGGTAGCTGAAGTCATGCTCAGTGAGGAGTTAAAGCAGAGAAGGCATGCCACTAAACATAAAAGCCTGGCGAAGATTGAGACAAGCAAATTGAAAAAGCGTCGCCAACAAGATCGCTCTGTACCTAACTGAAATCCAGCCCGGGATGCAAGGCCAAGTGCCAGGTGCAATTCGCCTTGAATGATCTTAGTCCAGTAATGCATAGTGTGGGTCTTCTCCATATGGAATGATTGTTCTGCAGTTGCTTATAACATCGCGTGATTAGGGTCGCATGGAAACGGCCAGTGTCATCATTTCGTTTCTAGAACGCCGCTAGGTTTGCATGTGGTTTAAATGCGCGAGGGCTACAAAAAGCGGAACAGAAGGAAGGGAGAGTCACGAATTTGTTCACCAGGCTGTAAACACCCCGGCTGTTTACCCCGGCCGGGGGAAGAGGCAGACAAGACAGTATCATGAAGCAAACGCGATGAGACGAAGAGACGTCGCCGTCTTCACTCGCTCGCCGTACAACTACGGTCAGATCAGTCAGTGATAACCATTAATTTGTGTGCTTAATGGGCACCAACTCAGGTCATCCGAAGATATAAAGGTATGCTGGAAAAAGTGTATACACACTAGAGATCATGCAGCATTTATATAATTGAGGTGAAATATCTTTCTGTCGAAAGTCGAAACAATGTGCAATCGTCCATACAGCAGTTTTCGACAGGTAAGAATGTCGCCAGCTGTAGCGAACTGCAGAGCTCCCCTGTAACGATGTCGACCCTGGGAGGGGGGGGGGGGGGGGGCAATGGGAGCAGATGGACTCAGCGCGGTCCGCCATATTTGTACCCGCGGACTTCTGAGTGGAATTCCGGCTCGACGACCCGTACCTATACTTGGTGACTGAGGTTAGCAGCTTCGTAAAGCAAGCCGACTCTGCCCAGGGGTGACCAGTCTGGCCCAGATGCTGTTTTGTCGCCGGATTTGGGCATTTCATTTTGCATTTGGAGAATATAAAAGTGTTGTTTGATAAATGCTTGCGTTTTTGTTGTTTTTTGTTTGTTGCAAGTTTGGTGTGTAAAATTAAGGAGGTCCCTGTCACATCCAGGGGCTTATTTTTTAATCGGATTGGGAGGGGGGGGGGGTTCAGACTATCCCAACTGCATAGGATCTTACGCCATGTTTGTAGCCAATTCTCCTTACGTTGCGGCTATTGGTTAGCATGAGGGAGTGTCGCCGCGTGCGGAACTGCGAAAACTCCTTCGTAAACCGTTGTCACCTTCCTAGGCCGCTTGTCAGACGTAGCCAAGGCTACACAAAATTTCAGAGATGGTTTTCGCTAAAGTGCAGCACACCGCCGCACAGTGCCCTGGTGCGCTCAGTCCGCGAGGTGTAGGCCGCCTTGACTCCAGCTGCGCGTGAACGCCTGACCCGCCCGAACGCACGCCCGGTCCGCTGCGGGGCCTGCCGGATACAACGTGTTGTTTTCTATTCGGTTTCTGTTTTCTATTGCGTAAGCTGTTCTGTACGTTAGTGAGGGGCATTATTGACATGGTTAAGGCGGTAGTAATAGCCTTATTCACTGGAGAAAAAAAAAGCAGCAGGAGAGTGGAGATATAGTTGGGCTGATATTTCGGCAACATGCCTTTATCGAAACAATAGCAGAAGTTGCACATTGCCAAAATATCAACTAAACTATATCTCCATTTTCCTATTTTGCTCTGAGGAATAAGGCTATTACTACTGTCTTATCTGTGTTACTTTCGCGCTTAGTGTGTGTGTGTGTGTGTGCTGACAACACGCGTCCCCGTTACGTTGTTCTTACTGAGGCGAAACGCGCGACATGTGCAAACTCCCGTCTCCCACCGGTCACGTGTTTTTAAACACGCATGCCCCTGAAATACGGCCCATGCGGCTGGTCAGACGCGTTCACAAACGCGAGTTGTGTTCTCATCGCCAGCCGGGCGCGCATCAGTCACTGCCAGACGGCGAATCGCCCGAGGCTGTGTACGTGCTGTCACTGTTTGCAGTGACTCCGAGCAGCGCGGAACAATTGTCGCGCCTTGCGGCGGGTCGCGTCGTGGAATGTCGACTGGTGTCCCGACACCTAGCGCCTGGCGGCACCACTCGCCGGCGTGTCCGGCGGATTCTGTCGGCGCTGTGTTTGTCATCACCTGCGCTGCTGTTCATGGCTTCGTGTGCAAGCGAGCCACCCGGATGTCGGCACTTGGTGTCGATCGCTCCACAGGAGGGGGAATGCCCGCGTGACGGACGGGCTGTTGATAACATCGCCTTCAGGGCACGCCGACGACGCCAACACGACCGATACATTCCCGAGGTGTCCGAATGAGTAACAAACTAAGTGCTATGTGAGTGCTGCGCTCGAACGGGCCGCGTGGACGGGAGGATTTGTATGGGACATGTTACTACCTGAGCAGCTCAGTGTGCTGCTAGTGACGTGGGTCCAGCGAGAGGCCGTCCTGCGACACATTGATCGGTACGGGAGAGTCTGGCGTCGCCCGCCGTCCCCGTACGGGTCAGGTCATAAGCTCCCGGGCCGACGGCGTCACTAGCTGTACCGCTCTCAAGGCCGCTGCCGCTGGGTGCGGCACGCTGGGTGCCGGTCACGCGTCCGAGCTGCTCGGTGCTGACCTGCTCGCCGTGTCTGGCGAGCAGGCTGGTCCTGCTGGCTGTGACCGGCAAGCGGGCGCTCAACATGGTCCGACCCGACCCGGCGCGACCCGGTCCGGCCTGACCCGGCCCGACCCCGACCCGGCCTTGACCCGGTTCGGCCCGAACCGAACCGAGCCGAGCCGAGCCCGAGCGAGCCTAGCCACAGCCCGAGCCGAGCCCCGAGCCGTAGCCGAGCCCGAGCCGAGCCGAGCGCGAGCCGAGCCGAGCCGAGCCGAGCCAGGCCGAGCCGAGCCGAGCCGAGCCGAGCCGAGCCGAGCCGAGCCGAGCCGAGCCGAGCCGAGCCGACCCGAACTCGGCCAGTGCTCCTCCCGACTCCGTGGCAACACGTGTTGTGCCGGTTCGCGGAAGGGGCCAATGATATTTGTTGCGACTGTCGCGTGCAATCACCGCCGCCACTGCTGGACTGTTGATCACGGCGACGCCTCCGTCGCGCGTGGATCCATTGAGAAGGCAGCCGGTCGCCGCTGCGGGGTCTCATGCCAGCCGGGAGATTGAAAACACGCTTGCTGGCGGGTCGGAAGTGTGCGGCCGCTACAAGTGAAGCCAGTTTAGCTGTGGTCTTGTCGCCCGGTGAGGGCGGCGCTCCGGTGTAATCACAGCGGCAAAACCCCGCATCTTGTGGCTGCTGTAGATTGGATCAGTTGAGATCAAACGGCTATGGTATTGGTGTTTGTGTTGTGCGCCCGCATACCACCTCTCGAATAGGTGCTGGCTTGGTAGACGGCGCGTGCGAGGATGGGTCGAGTTCGCAAGTTTTCCAGCAAAAGCTCCTCAGCGGCGACCTCTAGGACGAGGCTGAGGTGTGATGAAAGTGGATGTTCCGCATTTGTTTGGGGTTTTGGATTGAGATAGCCATTTTGAAGATCACTCAGTATGGCCCACAAATACTTTGAACCCTCTTGTTTCTGGGCTGGATAGCCCGCGAACCTGTGCGGACTTTTTCGTTGCAGTCTATTTTAAAGGTCATCCCAGACATTCATGACGCCCTTACAAACATCACGCAGATACTGCTACTGCATTTGTATTGGTGCCTGGCTTGCGTCAGCGCGATTCGTGAAATCAGTGGTCATAAATTGGCCGTCGACCATTTTAAGTACAAGTTTCGCCTTGAGTGGGAGTTAGAACGTAAGTCAGGTTGTGTGCTATATAAAACGGAGATTTGAGCGGTGGGTACTAATTAAGACGAAACGGGAAACGAATAACTTGGAAACAGCGCCATAGTCGAGTATGTGCAAGCAGTTAAACAATATGAAAGTACGGGCAAATATACAGGGAAACACCACGAGAAAGGGGCAAAACACGCGCACGGAACGATATTGGGGTTTCGCAAACTCACGCCACCCTAACAGCTAGCACGCGCACCGGCAGTCATGCCGGTGAGCACGACGAACTACCGGGAAGAGAGATGTGCGCTCACACATTCACCTTTTCTATAGTGCCCATTTCTAAAACCTGTTAAACGGCAGTCCTATGGGCAACAGTCAATTGAATGACTTAAGTGCCGATGGCAATTTCTGTGCATCATCCAGCGTTGTTATGAAGCGAAATATGAATGATGAGTTCGTGTTCGGCTAAGTTCACATTTTCTCGGGATTAAACAACTGCTTCGTATGATCTTTGTCGTTTCTATTACCAACTTTTCAAGCCTGGTCTCACAGGATAGTTGATTGTACATCATATGCGACGATTTTTTGGTTGTTGATTTCTTCGTGGTGACACATGCTTATGAGGCATGGCTGCACGTCCTTTCCCTTTTCTTTCTATCCTCTCTGTGTGCGCTTCGGTGCAATCTCTCAGACGACTCGGTTGCCGACCGTCTGCGTCGCCGCGCCTGTCCGAGCGCTGGCTCTCGTCCGCGCGGCTTAGTGGCGGCTCCGTTGCAGACAACGACGACCCGCTGCCGTCGGGCTCGGGCGAGGTCAGCAAGGACTGCGGCGAGGGCGAGCTGGCGCACTGGGGCGACGTCCCTGGCCAAGTGGCGCCTCAACCTGGCGCAGCGGCGCGCGGCCTCAGCGGTGCGTTCGGCGGCCGCCACGGCGCACGCAGACCTCGCGCCGGACGCCCGTGACCTGCGCGTGAGGGTGGCCGTTTGCCGACTTAATGAACACTACGAGAGTCATGCCTTTGCAGTCGGCCATGTTTGCGGCGTGTCGGTGTGTAGAAGCACGGCTCATTTCTAGCTTATCTGGCCTAATATGTGCGGGTGTGCGCTGACCTGGCTCGACGTGTCGGACGTGCCCGGGGTGGTGGCCGACATGACCCAAACGCGCTGCATGCGAGCCTGCCCCGACCGGGCGGCGCTGGTGCGAGCTGACCTCGGCTGATCCCGTGTCGGCAGGGCTGGTGAAGCGCGGCGTGCCGGAGGCGCTGCGCGGCGAGGTGTGGCAGCTGCTGGCCCGCTGTCACGAGGATCAGGACATGCTGGACACGTACAAGATGCTCATCACCAAGGTGGGCGGGGCCGTCGGCCGGTCCGCCATGGCGCAGCCGGGCGGCACAGGCGCCGCCCGCCGGCTGCAGACGCGACTAACTTCCTACGGCAGCCGAGCTGGCGCGCGAAGAACGGGGATGCTGGCCGGTGCTGTATGCGCCAGCTGGGGTCACCACTGCCGTACTCGTTTGGATGCGACTTATGGCTGCTATGTTTCAATGTCACATTCACCTTGTTGCTGACATCTGGACGACCTGCGTCACCGCGAATTCGAGTGCTGTTATGTACTTGTCGTTTGTGTGGAGTCTGAGGTTGAGCCAAGTTCATAAAGAACTGGTAAGATTCCTGTCTCCGGAACTTTCTCAGATGTGCTAACTAAGGTCTCTTGAAACTTGTCAACTGGGCTACTTCAAGACGTGCGCTGCGCGGTGCAAAACAGCAGATGATGGTTTACCGAAGGATTGATACGAGGTTTTAGTTTCACGAATGGGACTATTTGTTCAGACTATCGTCCGTGTCCAATGTGGTAGTGTGTAAACAGTGATTCGGCCAGATGATTTTTTTGGTTATCGTCGGGCGTTATTGACTCCTGAGAATGACTGGGTAATGTTTGGCTTTCGGTCATGAATGTGCTACAGCCTCCAATGCTGGCCTTGGAATGGCTGGGATTCCAGTCGTGGTCTGCTAATTGTGAGCCTGGCGCTCCGCCAACCGATTCCTTACCTGTTAGATCAGTTGGTACAGCGCTGAGTTTGTAACCAGAAGACTCTGGCTCGAGGTACAGCAGTTATACAGCAGGAGAGCAGGAGAGCGCTGTGTACAGCAGGAGAGAACCCGAGCTGTGACACATGCAGGGCTGAAGCCACACGCCATCCAGTCCTGCTCAGGACTCCTTAACGCCTGCCGACGGCCGGTTAATTAGTTGGCCGAGACATTGTGTGCATGCCTATTTACCAAACGAGTGCAAACAGTTCTTCCGTCCGGGGTTTCGCAGTACGTCAGATTCCCTTATCGCCACGTGTTCTAAACCGGCCAGCCCATCAGTTGTCATTGTCGATCAGCCAGAGCTCATATGTGCCTGCGGCGGGAGACGTTGTCTTTCGGCGGTTGGCAGCTTGGCGAGGATGCGACGACCGGCGGCGGCTGTTTACTTAAGCCCAGCGTCTGACGCGCGGGCCCGTGCCGGTGACCCCCAGGACTCCAGCTGGGAGACGGTCATCCAGAAGGACATCAACCGCACCTTCACCGGCCACGAGTACTTCCGCGAGGCCGGCGGCGTCGGCCAGGACTCGCTCTTCAAGATGTCCAAGGCGTACGCCGTGTACGACGCCGAGGTCGGCTACTGCCAGGGCCTCAGCTTCCTGGAGGCGGCGCTGCTTCTGCACGTGAGTTGGTCGTCGGACGCCGGCCGCTGCACACTCCGTGACCTGACACGCACTGGGGGCAGCGCGCTGTCCCAGTGCCGGCTGGAGTCGCGCGCCGGTAGCGATGTGCGGCCGCTGGCCGGCCGTGTGTAGGGCGATGTCTTCGTCAGCCGATCGGTTTGGTACAGGTAGTGGTTTGGGGGGAACGAGCAGTTCTATGTATTCGGGGACTCCACATGTACTGACTGGCCGCGCGTCCCAGCCGTTTTGAACCAACGCTTTCGCAGCCTTGGTGTTATCTCAGCAATCACAAAGCTCTGTGTCATCTGGCCATCCGGAAAGCTGATCTGTATATTATTTTGCGTCGTGTTGGACGCACACTGAATCTAAGCTGCTGTGTTGATCGGGCCCTGGCCGGCTGTCAACCTCCGGCGCCGGCGGCCTTCGTTACGCGGTCCGGTGACGGGTCCGGCTCTTCGTCCTGCTGTCGGCGGGATCCTGCCTTTCATCACGGCCTCAGCGGCTGGCTCCGTTCGTCGGCGATGCGTGGCAGTCCCCGCCTTGCCGCCGCTTTGGCGCCTTCCTTGCTCACGAGAGTGTCGGCATGCCCATCCAGGCTGATGCTGGTGTCTCGTCGTGTAGGGGATGGTTGCGTGCCGTTGTCTTCAGGCTTCGTGTCTGACTTGTCAGAGACGTGGCAGCATGCCAAACGTGTTCAGAAGGCGGTGGCCCTGTCCGTTCGATACCAGCTATCCAAATAGTCTCACCTAGCTGCCGGACGGTTTGCGAACGCGGGTCCCAGGCTGAGGCGGCGACGAGATCGTTATCAGCCACCTGATCCTGGTGCCAAGTCAGCGACGTCGTGTCAGTAGCTTCTCTTCCCCCGGCTGTCGCACTCCATTGGCGGCCATCACGGGTTCTCAGGGTTCTCGGGGAGAGTGAGATCGACGGCATTTGTTCCTTCCTGTCTAAGGCGTTGGCCGGTAGGTCTCTGTCAAAGGAAAGCTTGGCTTGTGCGCTGCTGGTACGCAATGGACTCGCCCAGATAGGTCATTGCTATTTATTCCCGATGATTGAGGTGAGACGGTTCGGCTAAATACTGTCCGTGGCTCGGGATTGAAACTATTCAAAGCCTCCTGGCATATCTTTTTTTCGCTTCAAATATCCGGTTTTCAGTGGCTTTCGAATGATGTGTGCCGTTGGCTGAATGAATTGGAATTGCGCCTCATGACAACGCATTTTACCCAGTTCGACAAACATATTTTAGATAAGTGTGCTCTTTAGCAGAGACTACAAGGATGTTTTTATGCTCATTTGGCAAAAGGGCCATTACAGAATGGAGGCATATTCGGCTTTATAGGATGTGGAATCTTGTACGAAAGCGATAAAGAGTGCATTGACACCATGATCATACTGAGCCAGCTGCTCATAAGTCGTTGTCGTCACCTTCCAGATTTGATACCGCGATGCTCTTCAGGTGACTCCGAACTTGTAGGGCCGACCAAATTTGTTGCTATAGCTACTGTACGTGGGAGAGAAACATCCGTTTCTGGGATTTGCCTGCGTGGGAGCGTAGAGACCGCCTTATTTTATCTTCACCTTCCATTCTGTGGGCTTTGGTGTGAAACAGTTGCTCCCTGGCAGATGAGGACTCCCACTTCCTGAGTGTTGAACATCTGCCATTCGCTTCTAACTTGGAGCACCTGATCTCTCTCATGCAGTTTTCCGCTGTCTCGCAGTCAAATGAAATCAAGTTGGGCCGTGAATTTAATAAGATCGCAAACTTCGAGTGCTACATGGTTCCAAATCTACTCTCAGCCGGTTGTCATTAGACGCTCCGAATGAGGAGTTCCCGCCCTGACTAAAGCGCTCGACTGATTGCGGCGGTGACTTCGGGCCGGATGTAATCGGTGGCGTCGGGCCGCGCGGCCGCCGTCAGCGCGCCGGAGACAGCTGGCGCGATGCTGCTCGTCCCTGCCCTCGGTTCACGCCCGTCGCACGTGACCCCTGACCCCTGTCCCCTGTCCCCAGATGCCTGAGGAGCAGGCGTTCTGCGTGCTGGTCCGCATCATGTTCCAGTACGGCCTGCGTGAGCTCTTCAAGGACGGCTTCGCCATCCTGCACCTGCGCTTCTACCAGCTGGACAGACTGCTGGAGGTGGGCCACTTCGGTCGGCGCGCGTTGTTTACGTTCGCCTTATCTGAGCGTCAGATGTAATCGGTTCGTATGTGCTGTCCACACGGACCTTGTGACCGATTTGTAGGTTACTCCTCGCGGAGACTCACGCCGGGCTGCTGACGCCTGGTGTAGAGTGTGTTGTGACTGGTGACCTCGTCCCCGTAACCACCGAGCCCCTGACGCCTGGTGTAGTGTGTTGTGAATGGTGACCTCGTCCCCGTACCACCGGCCCGGCCCCTGACGCCTGGTGTAGAGTGTGTGACTGGTGACCTCGTCCCCGTGACCACCGGCCCGGCCCTGACGCCTGGTGTAGAGTGTGTTGTGACTGGTGACCTAGTCCCCGTAACCACCGAGCCCCTGACGCCTGGTGTAGAGTGTGTTGTGAATGGTGACCTCGTCCCCGTGACCACCGGCCCCTGACGCCTGGTGTAGAGTGTGTTGTGACTGGTGACCTCGTCCCCGTGACCACCGAGCCCCTGACGCCTGGTGTGAGTGTGTTGTGACTGGTGACCTCGTCCCCGTGACCACCGCCCCTGACGCCTGGTGTAGAGTGTGTTGTGAATGGTGACCTCGTCCCCGTAACCACCGACCCCTGACGCCTGGTGAGTGTTTGTGAATGGTGACCCGTCGTCCCCGTGACCACCGCCCGGCCCCTGACGCTGTGTAGAGTGTGTTGTGACTGGTGACCTCGTCCCCGTGACCGTCGCGCCTCTGGCCCGGCACGAGCCGTGCCGGCGCTGACGCAGGCCGGCGCACCGACAGGAGCACCTGCCCGAGCTGTGGAGCCACTTCGCCGAGCTGGGCGTCGAGTCGCACATGTTCGCCTCGCAGTGGTTTCTCACGCTCTACACGGCCAAGTTCCCACTGTACTTGGTGTTCAACGTGCTGGACGTCTTCCTCCTGAAGGACATGGACTGGATCTTCCAGGTGGCCCTAGCTCTGCTGCAGGTGGGTGCTGACTGGGCCGCGGCCGTGTCCGCAGCTGGTAGGGTGAGCGGGCTAGGCGTTCGCTGTGGTGCAGCACCGGTGCGCCACTCAGGCCACCCCAGCGAGAGCCTTCTGTCAAGCCCTGCTCCCACTGTTGTGGTGCTGGCACCACGTTCAGTGGGCACTCCTCGACATGATGCGTTCGTGGACAGATGTTTTCAGTCGCGGAATCTGAGCTTTTTTCATCAGGTTTGCGTTGCTGTGCAATTGTAAGAATGGCTCCACCGCATCTGCCGTAACTTCTTCCAGAGCTGAGAGTCTTGGCATCAGGTTTTGTATGGCTCATGCGCTTTGATAAACAACGTGCGTTCACGTAATCTGTCTGTCCATGAAAGCAGCTGTAGTGTGTCGTGGTATCTCCGGCGGCCGGCTGTCCGGCTTGGGTGCGCGGGAGGGGCATGCCGCTCCCCATCCTGAGCCTCATCTGGGCCGGCCAGGTGTGCGCGAAGACGAAGGTCCCCATACCCATCCCATGCTCGTGCCCGGCCAGGTGTCCAAGAAGGACCTGCTCGGCCTGGACTTCGAGGGCACACTCACGTTCTTCCGCGTCTCGCTGCCGAAGCGGTACCGCAACGAGGAGAACGCGCGCCAGCTGGTGAAAGACGGCCGTGGCCACCAAGGTCAAGAAGCTGCGGAAGTACGAGAAGGAGTACCTGGCCATCAAAGGTGAGACGGAGGCGCGAAGTGAGCGTGATCTCCGCGCGTCGGCGGCACCTGGCGCTGAACGGGACCGCAGCGTCTCGAGCAGTCGGCGCGCTCCGCGTGGGAACTGTGTGTGTGTAACGTGCTGCGCCGGCAGGGGATGTCATCTGGCTTCCCGGGGACGGTCCGGGTCCTACAGAGTAGGCGTGGTGTGGTACTGAAGGAGAGACACTTGTCAGGGGCCATGAAGTGGCACAGGAGCTCCCGAAGTTGGCACGGTTAATGACATCAAGGTGATGCGTATGGATCCTGAGCTAGACGATCGCGCAGCGTTATCGAAGGACGGCGTTCTGTTACAGCCGATGTAACGCTGAGTCACGCTCGTCATGAGAATGTCCTGCGACAGCGCGGAAGTGTCTGACCGTCGCGCGGCCGGCCCACAGAGCAGGAGCGGCTGCGGGAGGACCCGGCCCGACCGCCTGCAACGCGGAGAACCGCAAGCTGCTGGCGGCCAACCTGCGCCTCGAGCACGAGAATGACGACCTGGCCAATGAGGCTGGTGGCCAGCAAGATCCAGCTGCGTAGCAACCTGGACGTGGTGAGGTCCGCCGCACCTCCGCCCCGCCTTACGGGTCGGCGGAGCGCGAGCGTCGGGGCCTGTGTCAGCCAACGTGCTGCGCGGCAGGACCAGTCCGCGCTCTCCCTGCCGATGTGGGGTGCCTGGTCAGTCATGTCTGCGGGATGCGTCTGTCCCTTCCCTTCCACTCGCCGTCCTCTTTTCGAAATGATTCATGGCTAAGAGGAGTGGCTCCTGAGGTGGTTCCCGCGGTCAGCTGTCTCCGGGGGACGCGACCGAATGACCGGGGGTGCTGCCGCCGCGCCGCGCGCGCCTGACTGACGCGGCGGCGGCCCCGGCCCCGGCAGACGGAGGAGCAGTGCGAGAAGATCTCCCGCGAGCTGGTCACCTCGCAGACCCGGCTGGCCGATACGGAGGAGGAGAAGCGACGCCTGCTGGACGAGTCGTGTCAGGTCAGGCGTTTTAGGCGTGTCATGCGCGTCGTGAGCTGCGTCAAGCGTATCAGGTTAGATGTGTCGCCAATCCGCATTGGTGGTATCAGGTATATCACATGGGTCGCTGCAGCCTAGGGCGCTTTATCAGGTATATCACACGGGTCGCTGCAGCCTAGGGCGCGTTATCAGGCCTGTCATGTGTCGTATCAGGTGAGGTTCAGGTGTGTCGTAAGGTGTGTCAGACGTATCAAGCAGACGACCGTGTCGGTCGTGTCAGGCAGTTCATCCGAATCGTGTTAGTCTTGTCGTGTGTGGCGGACGAATCGTGTTGGCTGTGTGTGCCGACCGCCGGCGCCCCAGCCCGGCCGCCGGTGCCCCAGCCCGGCCGGCCGGACCGCGTCGGCCCGCCCGCTGGAGGGGCGCTGGGGCCCGCCGGCTGCGGGCTGGCCAGCGAGGGCGCGCGTGACCCCTCCGGCCGCCGGTGCGCGACAGGTGAAGGAGCTGCTGAAGCGGGAGGTGCAGAAGAGCGAGTCGGAGCTGCAGCGTAACGCCTCCATCATCGACGACTACAAGCAGGTGAGCGATCCGGGCGTGTGAGGAGGCGGTCGGCCCGGCGAGACCGTCTGACGCTGGTGGGACGGCGTTTGTATCGTGGGTCACAGAATGGTGCGGTGACGCGTGCGGTGGCGTGGGCTGATGGTGTTTTGCCCTGCTCTCCTCAGATCTGCTTCCCAGCTGAGCGCGCGGCTGGAAAAGGAGCAGGCGGCCTCCAACAGCGAGATCCAGTTCATGAAGGTCAGTGTGCACGGGTCGCAGCTCCTCCGAGAGTGGGTGAACAGCGTCCACAACCGGCGTCAGTGCCAGGCGACTGCGGTCCGGCCGGCCGTCCGACCCTGACCGACCGGTGCTGGCGAGTCCGCGTGGACGGTCGCGGACGTGACGGGGGCGTCGCCGCGGGCCGGCGTGACGCTCGTGATGCTGCGGCCCGGCAGGGTCTCGTCACCGCCTGTCAGTCGTGCTCGGTGCAAGTACGCGTCCGGACGGCCTGTGCAGCACCCGCTGCGCCGATCTCTGCGAGGAGGACCCGGTGCGGGCCGGGACGCGCGCATCCGGGAGCTCGCGCTCGAGCTGGCCCGCACCAAGCTGGCTCAGGTGGAGGTTGAGTGCAAAGAACCCAGGTGAGTGGGTCCGCGCCGACCCATTCGCCACCCGGCCAGGCCCTGGTTTGTTCGGGTTCGTTTTAGGAGCCTCCCGAAGTCCCACCAAACATTGATGGGTTTGGCCGGTGCACGGCCGGCTGCGTCGACTTTTGGCCGCTATGACCCGGTATTGCTGTATGGGAGAGCGCTGAAGGCCGTATGTGAGTCGTGTTTGTCGTGAATGTGATGGGTGTTGTCGCAATGTGGCTATTATCTCGTTGGCATATTTTCTTAAATTTTGGGTTGGTTATTGTAAAGTATTTGCAGTCGGTTATTATTCACTCCTCGCTATTAAAGGGCGAAACATCCGCCCCGATTTACACATTCGCTTTGATCGGCGGTCGGCCAATACGGCATAAAATGTGTAATTAAACGGCAGTACTTGACGGTAACGTATCCATACCGCTGCTCAGTTGCTGCGGGACTGGTTGTACCGGATGACAGGTGAGGGAAATGCCACGCGGACCACGCCGCGGACCGTTTTTTCTTCTTCGTGCTGGGCCTTCCGGCCAGGTCTATCAGTGGCCATCCCATAATTGAAAGGGTGACATTTATTTGCGCGCTGTTTGGGTCCCATGTTCTGACGGGACGAGTAGGGCATGTACTACTTCTCTGTGCGACTCACAAGGGTGGTAGGTGTACGCCGAGCATCGTGCGGAGCTATCGCCGGACTCTTCTGTTCTCTCCGCTCTGGGCGGAGTTATTGTCGGGCCGGGGCGGACAGCACTCGCCTCCCGTGCGGCGGACGGCACTCGCCTCCCTGGCGGCGGACGGGACTCGCCTCCCGTTCGGCGGACGGCACTCGCCTCCCGTGCGGCGGACGGCACTCGCTTCCCGTGCGGCGGACGGCACTCGCCTCCCGTGCGGCGGACGACACTCGCCTCCCGTGCGGTGGACGGCACTCGCCTCCCGGGCGGAGGGCACTCACCTCCCGTGCGGACGGCACTCACCTCCCGTGCGAACGGCACTCACCTCCCGTGCGGCGGACGGCACTCGCTTCCCGTGCGGCGGACAGCACTCGCATCTCGTGCGGACGGCACTCACCTCTCGTGCGGACGGCACTCGCATCTCGTGCGGACGGCACTCACCTCCCGTGCATACGGGACTCACCTCCCGTGCGGACGGGACTCACCTCCCGTGCGGACGGCACTCACCTCCCGTGCGGACGGCACTCACCTCCCGTGCGGGCGACCGCGGAGGATCAGCACCCGGCATGCCTATCCTAGCAGCGGTCCAGCCAGGCGCCCCCAGTTCAGTCGACACTGTCGGGAGACTCGAGCCGCAGCTCGAAGCTCAGCAGCTGGCAGCTGCGGCACGTAAAGCCCGGCTATGGTGAGCTCGCGCAGCTCCATGGCACTACGGCGCAACGGTGCCGAGATACTCCCGTCTAAATAACAACCACGTCCGCAGTGCGTGGCCGCGAGACGGCTTACCAACACACACGCACGCAGCGCAGGACCGCGTGAGTAGGTTGTTTGTTCTGCGAGTCCGTGCTGGATCCCCCCCCCCCCTCTGTACTGCCCCGACCGTGCGCACTGCGTGCTCTGGTGATAGCGGTTTCCACAAGGCCGGTGACTGGTCGGTTCGGGCCTCCAGGGCTCGGGACAGTTGGTCCAAAGGAGCGTTCAATAGATCCGGCAGATATCTTGGGCGCGTGGGCAGATATAGAACAGCAGACGGGCTCATTT